AAGAACTTTCTTGTGGCTTTAACCACTGATGGGAAACATATGTTATCCCCCCTCAACTCCTTAGTTTTGCTAAACATAATTTTTTCCCATCATCACAGCTCTGCAATGAGTGCAAAGAAATCTGACAGAATCTGCTGCCACGACTGAACGCTACAGACAGTGGAGGCTGTTTCCAGTCTCTCTAGTGACAGTGCTAAAACCTGGTATCTTCATTTGTCAGCACATTTCCCTGCTTTCCTCGTTTTGCTCCCTGTCCCTTTTCCACGGGACCAGTGACTACACGACAGCTTGGCAATTGCTCCAGGACTGTGTTAGTGTTCCCACCTAATTACTGATGGGCACTGTGTGTTGAATATTCGTAGCTGCTTCCCAGAGAAGTTCATACATCTTCAGCTAAAGGTCAAATGCCCGTCCAAGCCTGGCGAGCAGCCGGCTGTGGCACGCTCTTTTCTCTGCCTGAGAGCACAGAAGGGAGCTCTGGAGCAACTGATACCTTGGAAGCAGACTAAGCAAGCAGGAGCTCATTTGCAACTGGGTGAACTGGGAAAGGCCCGTGGCCCCAGGCTGATGGAACGGTGTTTGCTTCCAGAAGCAGAGCGAGGTATCCTGGTGAGGTACCCCAGCCACACTTCAGCAGCACTGAGCCAGCTTTGGGCTAGAGGCACCTTCCCCTCCTGACGCCTTTGTAAAGGAAAAGGATCACAGCAGGAAAATGCCTCAATTTCCTAAAAATAGGTATTGTAGCATCATTTGTCCTTCGGAAAAGCTACTCACAGACCTGTGGTAAGGACATGTTTTTCAGGAAAGCACACAAACCCCACACTACAAAGATTCAAGCTTGGTATTTATCCTCAGGTGTAAAGTTGCTGCAGACTCACTGGTGAGACCAGAAAGCTTGGTTTCCTCTCTGGGTCAAGCCTGATTTCAACACTTGGCTACCACAACAACATCAGCAAAATGCCGTTTTGAAATTGTAATGGCTGCAGTAAAGGGCAACAGTGCACATCCTGACTCATAAATAATGGCTTCTGAAGAGGGGTGCATGCTGTAAAAATGGGTGGTAATTCCTGGCAACTGTTAAATTTCTAGCTTACACCACCCTCTGAAATGATTGATACCAGTCAAACAGTTTTAGTGGATTATTTTAATGAAATATAACTACTCTTGCCATCATTGAAGTTACTCTTCTGTAACTATTGCAGCAAGCATAAGCTGGAAAGGACATGCCAAGAAGCCACTAAAAGTGTAATATGGAGGAAATGTGAGCAGAGCCCTTTAACCAGGCTGGCACTGCAGCCAAGGGGCTCCTCCCAAATCAAGCTAATACAAGGCTCACTGAAAATGTTTGTAGATGTGTAGCTTTAGAGACAGCTGGGCCAGCTTACATAGATGTATTAGTTCAGCACACTCACATAAAACCATGTTCTCCTCTTGTCCAAAGTGAAGGACACTATAAATGCTTTTTCAACCCTTCCATGGGTAATGAACCCCAGCACTTTGCAAGTGCAGAGCAGGAAAGCCACTCCCCCATGCCAGGTCTACATGCAGTAATCTCATTGACTATAAGCTTGGGCTGTGTTGCTTTTATCATTGGTGTTCCCCTACTAAACCCTCTAAAGTCCTTACTATACAGCTCATAAATAAAATGCTGGAAATGTGCCTCGGATTTAATTACTCCAAACTTATTCGTAAATTTGCAATAACATTTCAACAGCTGACTCCTCTTTCCAGGTGCATTCCCAGGCAGCTGGAGAGAAACTGGAAGAAAAAACGTTCCCAAACCAACATTCCAGAGAGTCTAACTTGTGGTCAGCATTGACGTGCTCCACACGGCTCATCACCCAGAGGGAATAGGCTACAGTGGAGAAAAGCTAGAAGGTAGAAATAGAGCTACTGGCTAATTATTTGAAGGCAGGGCATGGAAGGGTTGGCAAGATCAAAGGCACATTTTAATCAGCCATGGTGCTGGGGAGGGCTGCCATGCGTGGCAGGTGGGTCACACTGCTCCTGTAGTCTTTATTCTGGGAGATGAAAGGCATCCCACCCCACTCTAAATACAGCTCTTTTAGTTAGGGTTTGCCACAGGGAAACACTTTAGCCAAATTTTTATCATTAGGCTCCATTAGCAGAAAAGCTTCTGCCATGGTAATCTAAATGTCTAAGTGAGAGGCACATTTTCTAGGGACCCAGAGTGGGAGCAATCCCTGTATTGTTCTGTTACAGAGAAGGGACTTTGTGGCTTTGTGAATAATCCTATCCTTATTGCAAAGAAAAAGGGTAATCTTAATAGTGGTTAAAAAGCGTGGTTGATTCATAATAGGACAGCATCCAGCCCATGCAATCCTACTTCCCAAACAAACCTTCCTCCACACTAAAACCCAGGGACTTCCGTAGCCTGTAAGCTGCAGGGACACATCTTTTGTGGTTTTATCTCAGCTCACTGCGACACATGTGGATTCCCATCAATATTTAGTCTTTAAAAATATTGGTTAGATCCATCATAAATATTAAACACCAGAGTATACTGGCAAGTTTCCCTGAAAACAAACTTCAAAAAATAATCTCCAAAAAAGATGTCAAGGCCCTTGGGAGAACTGACACTGGCATGTCATCAGATGTTGTCTTATAAGGCTAAATTAAGCATCTGACCAGAGTTTAATTTCTGTAAAAACTCATGCTAATTTAAATTGCTTTAGATTTAATTAAAAATGGCTTTCTATAGAGATAATAATGTAACTCTGTTAATTAGTATCAAGTGGCATCTAGAGGGCATATTTAAAAACTAATCTGGAGAATAAATAGAGCTAATTAGCAGTCAGAATAATGCTTTATGATTGTCTTTTATTTATAAATGCTATAACGTTCAATAAGCTATTAAATGAAATTGTAATTAATATATATCAAAGTTATTTTTTAATACTCTTTTAACTAAAGAGTATTTCTTACACACCATTTTTCAGGCGGTCTGAACGCGTTTCGTTTCTGGAGGGAGGGAGGGGGAAGGAGCACTGCTGAGCGACGTACATACAGATTCAATTAGCACCAGCTCATTTATCTGCCCTACGAAGAATGTTATGTGTTTGTGAGCCCGCAGGGCCATCCAGTGAGGCATTGGTTTTGACTCCGTGGGGTTTGCAGACGTGCACTGCTGGCCATGGCACTGTGGGGCCGTGTAGTGGGCAGAGAAGTGGCAGATTTTGCCTTCAAAATCTAAGCCTCGCAAAACCACGGCCAAAGGGCTCAAAGGGCTGCCTTTCTCCTCAGACAGAAGTTCTCATTATCCTCCAGTCTCCCCTATGATGACAGGTTGGACTGCATTCACTATATCAAATAAAATCACTGAAGTACTCTAAACTATATCATGCATGAAAAGCAGAGGCAACCAACTCTGTCTTTTGTGTCCTTTAATGCTTATAAATCAGAAATAACTCCCCCAAATACAAATCAAATAAAAAACACTTTCATTTGTTATTCTGCAATGTCCACGCTGAGCAATTTTTTGAAGCACCATCAATGGCAGCATGTGTACTACTTGCATTTGGTTTTAATCCATAATTCTGTGTATTCCTTCCTTTTTTATCCCTTGCTAATGTTGAAAAAATCCTCTAGCTACCCAGAGCAGAGTTCATTTCAAAACAGGAAAGCACTTCTTTTTGTCAGACAAGGATTCAGCATTAGTTTGTAGCACAAACTTTCAGAAGAAACTTTGAAGACCACACAAAGAAAAAAAAGTTACTGTCACTAGCAAGATTCAAAGCTAACCACAAGAACTGCTGCTCTGACCTGTGTGAGATGACTTTCATGCCAGTTTGCTGACATGCACTTCCCTCTACAACAACTACGTTTTCGGCAATAACAAGAACAAGCCGAGATTATTTACATGGTATAGGTGGGTGCCAGCAGACACACACCATCAGCACCTGAGATCCCAAACACCAGAAAGATGATCAAAGGAGTTTGTCTGCGTACTACGAGCTGGACTGGCCTCCGGCGCAGACAAAAACACTGGAAGAAATACGAACATATGGTATGACACTTCCCAGCATGGCAAACAGCCATGGCAAACACTTTTGGAGATAAAATTAGATTGGGGAAGCAAAGCTGGAGAAAAACAAAGCCAAGTATGAACTCTTGAAAGCATTTCAGCTCAAGGTCATCGGAATGCTTGCCATGTAACATCAGCAGTGGTATAATTCTACCTTTTGTTTTCTGACAGATCTGCAAAAGCCAAAGAAACCTCGAGAAACACTCAGTTGGAGATAAAAATGAAAGTGCACTACAGTGATCAGCAGTACTTTTGATGTTGTTTATTCTGGAGACTAAAACAAGGCAGAAACTCAAAATAGTTATCAAAATTAATTCCTGGTTTCTCAAAAGTACATAGTAACTAAAAAGCAGTATCTTTGTAAGTATGTAATCTGAAAAGTACCTTGTAAGGAAAAGTTTCTGCTTGGTTTTCTTTTTGTTTGTTTGGGTTTTGTTTGGTTTTTTTGTTTGGTTTTGGGTTTTTTTGTAAAACAATGATGTAAATCTCTCTTATTTGAAGGTCTCCAAGAAAACACTTAAAATCTGTTGCTTCCTGACTCCCATCCACCCAGCACAAAAATTGCACCATGAACTAGCTCTGAATGAAGGGAGAATTGTGGTAAGGGATGAGTTGTGACAAATGTCCCCCAGCCCTGTAACACTCCATCCCAGATCCAAGAGATAAAGTTGTTCAATTTCCAAACCTGGTTTTAAAGCTACTTTGCTGAGCAAGACAAACCACTTCCAGGGGAGTTTTTTTTGGAGGGGAAACAACATATTGTGAAAGTTAAGAAACCCCTCAGATAGAATCTCCTGACCATTATCTACTTGGAGAAGATTCAAAGCAATAAAGACAGCACAAAGTTTTGTCTCCAAAAGTAGCTTTCAACAAGTATGAAGGAAAGTCAGGTAAAACTATACTAAAATTTGAAGAGGTGCATATTAAAACTGTGATTTAAGGAACAATCTCTTACCTAAAACTCTCAATCTCTCTGCTCCAACCACCACTTCGTTGTCATCTGCAGAAAACAGCAATTTTCCAGAGAGGGTTTTCACCTCAAATTTTTGGCTGTGTGCTTCCACTGCTTGGGGACCTAGAGAGGAGGATCACAATCTTTTAGTGAAAAGTATAAGAAAATAATGCATTTCATAAACCCATTTGCTGAGATTGTCCTAATAGCTCTGCAGATACAACCTGCATCTGAGACACTAAACAGGAGATCTGTGCTTTTATATCTCATTAGTAAAGGGCAGTTTTCTACCCAAATAGGAGCCTTTCAACTATTTCTACTTGTGGGTTCTTTTTTAATGCGTATGTGTGCCATAAAATCGCCATTAAACTTGGTACAGGTGGGAAATTTTTACAAAAAGACAGCAATGTGAAGCAGTAATGAATATACCCAGCCTTGCTTGGAGAGTATTGGTGCAGCAGTAAGAGGTATCAAAAGCTTCAGGGTCCATTTTGCTTTGACTGATACCACAGTGTAAAAAAATTCCTTCTTTTCTGCCTCTTAAATATGTCTGGTTTAAAATTCTATCAGTGTCATGCACAACCCAATTAAAAAAAAAAAAAAAAAAAGAAAAAACACCACCACAGGAGCAAATGTTTTCTTTTAGGATACTTCAATCATGTGCAGGCCAAGAAAAATGGCAGCCTCTCATGTTGCACCAAGTTTTTAGACAAGTAAAACTTTCCTTCGTAGATCTTATTTCAATTCTGGTGCTTTCCCTGCAGGCTGCTGTGCCCTGCAGTGCTGGAAAGCCTCTGGCAATACATTTTGTTGTGGAGTCTGATAAACATCAGCTGTCTGAATAGCAATTCTGTGCAGGTTTGTGGCTCAAGGGCTGCAAAGAGCAGAGCCCTCAGTTACTGACCAAGGCTAAACTTTGGACAAATCACCTTCTAAAAGTGCTGCCAACTCTGCTCAAGCCACAGCCTCCCTGGAATATTACCCTGGAATATACCCCTGATTGGGCTTTGCATTAATTCTGGCCATTTTCATGACTAGTCTCATTTCTCAAAAGACAAGAAATAAGACCTGAAAGCCAGTATTTTCTTATGGGCAGCTTCAAACTCCATCTCTACCCAGAGTTTCCCTGCACAGGTCATCTGTGTTGGCATCAGGGCACAAAGAATCATGAACATGGTTCTGACTACTGAGAAGTGAGGCCATTCTGAGATCCCTGGAAACACTTAAAAACTGTTGCTGCCTTTTGAGAAAATCCAGTACTTTAAGTTTGTATTTGTATCTCGCTTATTAACCACCCCCCTGCTCATCACTGAAGCAGGAGCTACATGGGACCACATCTTTGATCCACTCTGAAACAAAAGCTGCTGCCAAATGCAGAAAAAGATCAATAACCAGAACATCACACCAGGAAATATCACTGAGTGTGTCCTCCCAAGCTCTCATGACATGGAGGTGCTTTAAGTGAACCAAACACCCTCTTGAAAATATATGGAGAAACAAGAACCTCAGCATGTTCATTCTGAATGTGAGAATCAGGGAGCTTGGGGTTGAATTTATTTCCTTCCCCCAGGCAATTTTCACGCATTCTGCCTAAATAATTGCTCACTGAAGCTGCATATTTAATTATTTAACACTGTGACTAGAGGCCAAGATGTTATATAAGCAAACCAAACAACGCAGTCTCAATGTAGAAACATGTTTATGAATTACTGCCTCTGCCATTCAGCAATATTTCTCCCAGTCCATGGATAAATCTCAATAAATATATACCTACCCTTTATCATATATATATTATATTACCCTATATAATGCATTAGTCTCTTTCAACCCAAATTACACATGCATTTCTTCAAAGGCTGCTGTGCATTGGGGATTTATGAAACACTCATTCTTCTATCAAACACACTCATGTTTGGGAGCACAAGGGAATTCTTCATCAGCAGAAGGACTCTAAATTGCAAAGCGTTGCAACTCAGCCACGGTTGATCTCCAGAGTTCCCAAGATTTCAGGTAAGTTATAAGCGTCTTAGGAAAAACCTGTGCTTGTTACAACAGAAATGTCAGCCTGCATATGTTCTTCTTGACCCTGAAGTTGTACAACTAACATTTCTGTCTCTGCATTAGCTTTCAAATGAAAACAATGGTCTCCTTCCTTATCAGACAGCACCAGCCAGTTGCCCCTCCAGCACAGCTTTCACGTCTCCAGCTTAGTTTCCACAAAGTAGAGTGAAGTTTTCATTTGTACTTCACAAGACACTTGGGCTCCCCTCCTGAGCGGTCTGAAGCCAGCACAGCATCCCACAACACTCCCACTTTCATCCCTCCCTAATCCTTCCAAGCAGGAATCCTTCCAAGCAGGAATCCTTCCTTTCCCCCTCCTTACCTGTTACAAGGCGAGTGAGGACTTTCGTCTTCTCATTGAGGATGTTCACTGTCACATTTCTGGCGGACTGGAAGTACAGTGGGTTGCCCTGGAACAAGACCATGAGACCAAGGATGTGAGATGGAGGTGGTTGCCCGGGACCAGCCTGCTTGAGACACCTGGAGCTTTGCCCAGCACTGGGGTAACAGCCCCAAGGTTGGGTGTGTGGTTGGGGTGCAGGCTACCCTGCAGTATTTCAGGCTACCTTGCAGTAATTCTTACTGGCCAGGATAAAACCACAGTGCACAACACACCTTTGGCCCAGGCAGTGCCCCAGAGACCAGCCTTGTTTTAGGGACTGTTGCCTTTATTGCTGGTATAACCCAACCAATCTGCTATTTTAAAATGTGCAGGTGATAGGGACCTGACCTAAGCTTCCTGAAGGTGTTTTGGGAGGGTGGCTGAGTGCAGCAGTGCATTTCAGAGTCAAACCTGCAATATTACTTCTGATGACTCCAGTGGGTGACTGTCAACCACAGGGCCACGTGAGCAGGCCATGCCCAAGAGCTGGGAAGAAGAAAACCCGGTGAACTTGTAGAGAGTTCCTTTCATCTCAAAGCACTGAAGAACCATCTGGCATCTCTCACCATCACACTGTGGTGGGATGCCAGCTTTGAACCAGACCCATCCCACTGGGTCTACAGAACACAAGACATGAAGCCTTCCCCACTCCCCACTTGACCACAGAGATTTCTACCAATTTTTTCATTTTTATGCTTTCAATACCCCTTTGAGAGAAGAGCCAGAGCAGCTGCTAACATAAAGGAGCCCCACAGCTACCTGGCAACATCCATCTCAGGTACTTCTCCTGCAGAGCAAAGCCAAAGAAGACCCACAGCTACAACCATCTGGCTCCTTCTGTGTGCAAACACTTCCAAGACACCGGGGGACTCGTGTTTTCATCAGGCAGCTCCAGCCTGCACGGCTGGTTTCTCAGGGGCTATTAGACACCTACAGCACCAGCACAGGGTGACCCCAACTTGAATCAGCCAAAAATCTAATGAGCAAGGTGGAAATTCACTGCCAGTATCTCTCTGCAAGGTCCAAAGCAGGCAGCTGATCAAATTCATCAACGGACTAAGCCACAGGATAGGTAGAGGGGATAAAATAGCAAGAAAATCAGCAAGGAGTTGAACATTTTATGCCTGTTGTGCTTCTTCAACCAACGTCTTTTTTCAGCATTTCAAAATCTTTCCACTAAGAATGAACAATCAGGATGGGGACAGAGAATCGTGTAGGTCAGGCACGTTCTCCTTGCCTCCTGGATTTGTAAGACACACAACGAATATTTTCCTAGATGCCATTTTTCGGAGGATCATGGCAGAAGGTTGTTTGCATACAAAACATAACAGGAGCACAGAAATTACTTATGGGAGTCCTATGATGGACTGGAGCTTCAAATAACACCCTGGTGATAGACAAATGATTCCCAGTGGTGTTTGCAGAAGACAAACCTCCAAAAAATCTAAAGTAAAACCAGCCCCACATGTGACCAAATATTCACAACAATTACATTTGCTGCATGTGCCCATGGGATCAGTCCTTCAGCAAGAAAGGGGGAAAGGATTAGGATATATCAAATAAAGGATTTATTTGATCAGTTATAACTAGACCCTTATGGCTACATTCAGACTATTTACAATTGAATAAAAATAACAAAAGGAAAGAATTCCACTCAATAATTTCCAGACCTTGGACAAGATTCAGAAGCTCTTGGTGTTTCTGTGTCCTCATACACTAAATGAGGACAAATCATCCTTCTACACCTCTCCAATGTGTTTGACAGTTTAAGTAATATAATATATGAAATTGAATTATAATTAACAGGTTAGAAGCAAGGATCACTGGTAGTGACTTGTAATGATTTTCCTCTTTTTACTTTTTATTTGTGATCTTCTAGAACTTCTAGAAATTGATGTTGATTATTGGTATTTTACGGTTAACAGCACGGAAAAAAAGATGGCTTCACCTGAATATCCACTGCTCAGGAACCTAACTTTAACACCCCTAGTGATAGCAGTTTACTGCTACATACTAATTTCTGTTTTAAAGGTAGATAGCTAAAATCTGCATAATGTATGGTCATAGGTGAGACTATAACTACTATAAACATGCCATATGAAGCACAGAAAGTCTCATTTTTGACTTGCACTATTTGACTTTTGTTTATGGAGTTATGCAAATAGCTACAGTGTTTTGAAAAGGTCAGGAAAACTTCTAGTCCAAATTCAGGTAGGAAAAATCATTCAATTCCCATGGCTTTGAAACTCTGTTACTGCTCTGCATAAGAGGAGATTGCACTACAGAAGCATTACAAGAAAAGTCAAGTGGTTAATAGGGAGAGAGTCACAGAGAAAGTTGCTCTAAAGAAGACTTACAAGACAAGTTAAGAGCTGGTATCCACCTACAAAAGACTTAAAATACATCATCAGACCTTGAAATGCTTACCCCAGCATAGTCATCTCATTCACTGATTCAGAATTCAGATTCGTGCAGCCTTCAAAAAACTAAATTTCCCTAATGGAAGAGTTATGTTTTTATTGGTCTGCAGGGAAGGAACATTTCAAGCACTTAATGCAATGCCTGGTCTCATTTCCATAATTCTTTTTCCATTAAGGAATGAAAAAGAATGGAAAAAATTACTCCCTTTTGCTAAAAATTCTGCAGATTTTCTGTCCATCATATTCTGTTTACAAAGGAAATAACACTGACATCTTTTAAACACTGAACACTAAAAAAATGTTTCGTCTGTTGCAAGCTTGGTGATGATGCAGCTTCTTTCAATCACACAGAAAAAAATAATTAAAACATTAAAAACCAGTTAAGAATCAAAACTAAAAGACAAAACCCTTCCCTTCTCTTACACTTTCATCTTATGACACAAAATGAAGTATTCTGATGCACATGAGCAAGTGGAAAACTAGATCAGTATGGCTTCATCACTGCAATAAAAATAGTTATGAAGTGAAGCGATATTCTCATAAACTGTCATAACCCTCGACAGACCTAGAGTTAGAACATCAGCAGGAAATAAACAAGCACATCTTTTGAGAACTCTTTGGGCTGGTTATCTACTTCCAGCCCACCACGAACCTACTATTCATCTCTGCAGGAAATCCTACAGAGTAAATACATCATTTTGCTTCTCACTTGAGTCCCTCATTAGCAGACCCAATGCCTTAACAATAATGCAAATGTTTGTAGTCACACAAAAGCACTTGCCACAGTTACTCAATATATTAAAACATTGGACACATGCTGCTGAATAAAGAATATGAAGAGTGCGAAAATATGTCAAAACTATAGACTTGGTTCCTCACTAAGCAGTGAGGTATCCAGTAAAACATAGAAAACTGCACAAAAGGTATCAACTCACTGTTTGCTAGGTTAAACACATGGCAACACAAGCCTAAACAGCTGACTAGCTGTCTTCCTTTGGCTCACTTTGGAAGAGATGCTAAAAACTCCCAGATCCGAGACTGAAACAGAAAAAAAGCACTTTGACTGACAACCTTAATTTGCAGCTGAAGCAATCCCAGCCAGTGCTGACTTTAGGGAAATTCAATACTTTAACAGATGTCCTTAGACTGTTGTAGGGAATTATTAAAGATATTTGGAAATCCTTTTAAATTTTAACAGGCAATTTAAAAATAATGCTTCACAGTCAGAGTGGTTGCAATTTGGATGGTCAAAAGGAGTATCTTTGATTTGATCCTCTGAATTCAAAGACTTCATAGAGTAAGCACAAGTGAAGCTTGTGGAAATAATGGAAATGGTGAATTTCCTGCAGGCTGACAAAGTAATGGGAAAAATAAAATATTAAAGCATAATCCAGGCTGGCAAGGAGCAGTCTATGGAGAAGTCACTCAGAGCACCATTTTCCTGCTCAATTCTGCTTCTCACTGACATTACAGAAAGCAAACACTGCTCTATACACAGGTGGACTGTCAGAGGGTAAAAGCTTGTTTTCTGTAAAGCAAACAGCCAGCAAAACCTCGCCCTCACTTGGCCTACTGCCACATTCACCTGCCTGCACCCCTGAGTGCTGTTCTAAGGAGCAGCTGAAAGAGGGGAAGTATTTATGTGGGTTATAACAAATATATTCCTTTCTTGAAGTCAAACCAGTTCTACTATAACACCAGCTAAATGTGATGGCTATAAAAACAGCAGTGATACTCCCCTGAAATGCATTTTCTATTGGTAGGGACAACTCAGAGCTGCACAAGGTAATGTCTCAGTTTTGTCTAGTTTGGAGTGACAAGTATTCGTCACCCAATAACTGAGAGACAAAGCAATAATTTTAGGGTACCTGAAATGTCCTTCACTAAGAATGATGAACCTCTAATGAAAAGCCACAAAGGCATCACCTCTTAGTCCTTCCTCAGCATCACATGCCGCTGGGGAGACAGCACTGTACGTTGCCTGGTAGTGCAGGTGTCAGGCATGTCCCCCTGCCTACCAGAAAAGCCGAGCTGGTAACCTTTACTGTGTCATTTTTTTGTCTGTTGACACAGATATGCTTAAATTAGTATCCCTGACCCAGTTTTGCGTGTTCCCACATGACTTGTTCATCTTTCAAAGGGAAGCACCAGTAATATCTCACTTAGTGCAGAGTTTCCTAACCACAAAGGTCTTCCAGAACATGTTGTGAGCACGTCAAAAAAACCCAAGACCTGACCCTGAGCGTGCATTTCTTCCCCTTAACTCCTACCTTAAGAATAGAAACTCCTTTGGAAAGTGTCTGATGCTGAAAAAGCCAGAGCTGCCCCATAAAATGGAGAGTTGTGAGGAAAAAATTGTATAAAACCCCTTCAGAACTGATAACAGATGCTGCAGGGATCAAGCAAATGGCACCACCACAAGTCTGAGCAAACCTCACCAGAACACTGTACAGACATCGTTCATCCTGAAGAGCAAACATGAAACACTGGACAGCATCTATCTTTATCTGTGAAGAAGACAAACTTGGGAGTATTTAGTGAGCCCCCATCCTTGAGATTGTACTTGGATTCTGGTCTTCACCTACATTACCAGCAAATCTCGACTTCA